ACAATCAGAAAATCATAGTCATAAGCCCCCATCAATACTGCCTTGTTCTCTACCTGTTAAAAACAAAATTTAACACCTTTTTTGCATTATATCTAAAACCGGACTAATTTACATAGGGTGTAATATGTGAACATCACAAATCCATACATTTAATATTGAGTTGAACTTTTGATTTATCTTTAAAATTGAGTATTTCGATTAAATACTAAATAGACTGATATAATCTTTACAAATTGAAAGGAGTTAATCGTACGTTATACTTTTGTAACACGATTAACTATTTTTTATTTTGTAAAACGTACTGAAATTTACTTCAATTCAATATTATCGAACCTAGGGTATGAAACTACACAATAAGGTTCCTAAAAATTCGTAGGGATTGGACGGAGAGGGAGGATGCCGTTCTTTCCCCCAGGGTATTCTATTTTAGTATACACGGTCGAACCCCATTCCCGTTTATCTATCGAACGACCCTTGTAGTTTCGCTTACGCGGCCAGCTGTTGGATTCACAAAATACTTACACCCCACACATGCCACATTTATACTTTAGCTATCGATTTGTTCCTATCTTTTTAATCCACGGAAAATGTTTTTCATAGGCACGGTTTATAACCGAAAAGCTATTTCACGAATGAATTTTGCATCAGATAGAATTGATGGATGGTCGTATAAGGACGAGACGATATACATAGTTCTTTGCGAAAGTGGATCTTATATCATGAACTAAAGACCGCGGTTAAGTATCGTTGTAAAAAGGCCACGGTTGTGAGTAATCCCAAGGGAATTCGTTGTACGTGCCGCGTCCCCTTTTTAAAATTTATTGTTAACTTGATCCATAAAATTTACTGCCGCGTTTGCCTTTTGCAGAATTCAAAGCACGTTGTCGCCAACTCGAAACGTTGGCTACCTTGAACGGACAAGTTTCTTGTTGTGCTTTTGTAAGATTTTGAAGATGAATGTAAGACACCATGTCATTTTTTTTATTAAACTACAATTACGACAACCACGATTTACCGTTTCATAAAATTTCATCGATATTACACAATACACTTTTATTCTCTTTCACAACTCGCATTTTAAAAGCAATTAACCGTAATTGCGATACACGATTTCCGGACAATAGCATTATTACGTATTGTCGTAATAAAGTCAATTTCGAAGCATTTGTAAAACATCGCTTGACATATAACAGGCAAGACAAAAAATTTACCGATCCATTTCAACCAATACATCGAAAAAAACAATTACCCACACATTCATTATTACAATCGTTGCTCTTGATGTAATCCAAAAATCGATAATTTATGCCGTTCGATTGGAACAACAAAAACAAACTGGTAAATTACTGAACAACATTGTACAACGTCGACCACCACAACAGCAGCCTCAGTGCGGTAGAGGAACGCTCGAAATGCATTTTCTGTGCACGCTTTGTGTGTAATAACTATTGTTGCTGTCACGAACACTTTAAAACGGCTGCCGCGAAGCGTTTTACACAAAACAGTTTTCAAAGCGAGAAAAACACGTCCTTAGTTTCATATTTCAACTTTGCGGATTGCTCTTAGATTAACGTGCCAGGTATAGCCGCTCGGTGCACATAGTATAATGAAAACAAGAGGATTAAAGGACACCGCCAACATTCGCATTCACAGCAATATCGAATTTGTTAGTATTATTTCAAAGCACACAATCAAACATAATACATGATTATTAAACCGCTTTGAGATTAAAAATAGTTTCCATCTTGTTTCATGTAGTTCTCTATTGGTACTTAATTTTTGGTAGTCAGCTTACACATTAGTTAAAAATGCTACGTTTTGAATTGATGCCCTTTCAAGACTTCCTCTTCTAATTTTAAATTTTGTCCTATTAAGTCTCTACACTATAAACAATCTCGTTGTCCCCCTCAATCCAGTCTTGTTATAATAGGCATCGTCCTCGCTCTAGTTTATATAGATGTTTGTTAGTGCGTAATTCACCATCTTCCTCCAATGTTCGAATATTTTCTCAATATTATCATCCTTAGAAAATCCTACTGCTACTTCTAAGAAGTTTAGTAAACTACCTCTATGTCTTAGATCATCAAATAGCGACTGTTTAAATCCAAAGAGATGCATCATTGGGTGACAAACCTATGTTTTCCATATCGCTCTCTTTATGACTTCCAATTTACTTTATTATCCAACGTAATGTCCATGGAGATATTCTAGGTTTGGCAACATTACGCAACCATTTAAATAAAACCAATTAATTTGCGTTCAATTTCCCAGATAGCGTTGATAATTTTTAGGGAATTTTAGTCGATTAACCTAAAATACGAAAAAGTCATTGCGAGCTATATTGGATATATTGGACCTTTTTTATTGTGAGTTCTATTGGATAGTTTTTGGTTAGAAATATTTTTAATGGCTAAGTTGTGAATACGTAGAATGATTTTTGAATCTGTGAACCTTTAAATACAAATGCATTTACTTTTTAATGAGCAAGTTAAAATATGTAGAAATGAGGTTGGAATCTCGTATATCTACGTTGATTACCAAGAAGGACACTATTTTAATAGATAATGCAAATTAATAACCACACAAACAATCTTAATGGAATTTTTTAATATTTATTGTGGACAATATACCACAATTTTGCATTGAACGTTTCACGCGTTGGCCGAAAACCTTTCGTCTTAACCATTGTGGACACTCTCTTTTGGCAGTACTTCAGCCGAGTTGATATTCCAAGCTCTATCACCCATGATTAGGGAAAAAAATAATCAAAATTGCACACGCTTCTAAGGACGCGTCAAAATCACACATCTACCTTCCATCATCAAAGCAGCGGAATTTTAGAGAAATGTCACCGTTCCTTGAAAATAGCCATCACTGCCAGAGAAAACACTAAAAGGATTTTGATATCACTTTTGGTACCATTGCGGACATTCTCTTTCGGCATTACACCATTATCACCCATGATCCGGTTGATAATTCGAATGAAAATTCTTTTCAAAACTTCACACTCTTAGGGACGCGTCAAAATCACACATCTACTTTCCATCACTAAAGCAACCGAATTTTAGAGAGATATCACCCTTCGTTGAAAACAGCCATCACTGCTAGAGGTAACAGTAACAGGTGGAACAACCATCTTCCCTTGGTTCTTCTAGACATCCGATTAGCTCTTAAGTAAGATCTAGGTTGTTTTGTTTTTTCAACCAAATTTTATTTTTGTCAAAAGTAAGGAAAAAACAAGATACACAATCAGAAAATCAGAGTCATAAGCCATTCTCTACCTGTTGGAAAATTATTTAACAATTTTTTTGTGAGTTGCTGTGAGTGTTTCGTGATGAACTGTATCAATTGCTTTGGAATAACGCATAACTATTTATTTGTTCAAACCATTTCACTCTAAAACCATAGACAGCACCATCAGCACACTTATTGGTCTCAGATCACTTAAAACTGTTAGTGCGTTCGATTTGGGCTTTATTAAAGTTTTTTTCGACATGGTAGGGAATACAAGTATTAAAAAGATTACAAATATAGGATGCAATATGTGGACAACACAAATCAATATATTTAATATTGAGTTAGTCATACCTGGAAGCTTTGCTTTTAATAGTGTAAAAATGAAAAATTAAATCACTTAGGCCCACTTTTACCACCTCCCGATAAATTTATCCGATAGATAAATCCAGTTCTTAGCCAATGAGAGCGCTTAAAACCGCCGTAACCATGGCAACTATCCTCTAGATAGTTTATCAGGAGGATGGTAAAAGTGGGCCTTAGTTTATTGCTGTTATAACAGTTAAGTAAATCAAGGTCAGGACTATAACCCCTAGATATCACGATGACAAAAAAGTTACTAATAACATTTGGGGAACCAAGATGTTTAGGTATTGAAATATTATTTCTTATAAACATTCCAGCATTCAGTTATTTGTAATTACAAACGTAATTGATATTCAAAGTATGCCTTATGTTCTAGGATTATTGACTTGTTAATCAAATTACGTTTTATTTCACTGACAATCCTGATAATCGTTTAACCTTAGAATACAGTATTGATTTCTGCGTAATTTTCCATCAACTACCATAGCCAATGTCTCTTCTCCTCACAACTGTTCTTATAACGTTGCTTGTTTCAAATTTGTACAGCTTATTTTATTTTTCTCAGCCCTGATGGTGTTGTTCAGGTAACTTCTTTGATCACATTTGAAGTATCTATCAAAGTGTGAAACAAAAATTGCCCTAAGGTTCTTCTTCATTAAATCTTCTTTTTTTCATTTCTACGTTATAAATGTGGTTAGTAATAACTTTACCTTATTAGGCACAGATTTCTATTAGTTTACCTTACTGTATTTGATGTCAAATTTTGTTGATTTTTTTATTTTTCACTTCTGCTTTTCAACTTAAGTTGTTTTGTGTCAACCACGATCTTCCATCTTTGTATCACCATGCAAGATAGTGAAACGCTTTCCTTTTTGTTTTTGCGTTTTTGGATTTACTTTAACATAATTTTCATTAGGTCAACAACGAATACGTTGAGACGTTGCAGCTAAAGTTCTTCTTTTTTCTTTTTTGTTCATTAATCCCTAACTAAAAATAAGTGTTATCTGAGTGCAGATATTATCACCATTGGTGATTTATTTCTGTAATATTAAAAGAAGTGAGAAATGATAATTGCTCAGCTTTTTCATACATGAATAATTGTTTTATATAGAGAATCTTTTGTGAATCACGGTAATGATACACATTTCTTCCTTCAAGGTAATTCTGCAGACACTTCTCAGGCAGTTGAAAGGTGAAAGACCTCGAAAGTGGCGGAGCTCCACGAAAAAAAAATAGGCGCTTACCAACTCCCATCGTTCTAACAAAATCCTCCAAACCAGCAAGCGGTGAAATACCGAAGAGGTATGGAGGATACCATTGTGTCTCGGCTCTCTCGGAGGTACAGGGAGGCGAGATTCGTGAATGTTCGACAGTGGTCGTCGCTTGGCCAACAGTTTGCCGAGTCAGTTCGACTCCAACGTTCATTTATCGTAGACGACAGCGTGTCGTTTTATTGAGCTACGACGACGGCAACAAAAAAAACTTTGTTTTCAAGGTACAATCAAATTTTGCGCGAACGATTGATATTTCAATGAAAAGACGTTTAATTTTTTTGTGAAAGTGAGTGTTATTGTTCAGTTAACCGAATCCTGGTGGATTTTCATAGTTTTATGACGCGGCAACAGGTGGGTTTCACTCATGTTTGCTTAGATGAGCTGCAATAAAAACGGATTAATCTCAATTGTAATTAACGCAAAAGGTATAAGCGCTCCATTTCGCTTTGTTATACGTCGAAATTGTGGACGTTTTACGTTCAAGACACCTGTTTGTCGTCCTGGCGGGTCAGATCCCTAGGGGATTCTTGGAATTCTTCGGACCTTTTGTCGTCTACCTGCCCTTCAGAAAATTTCGGCTAAACCAAAACCGTCAAAAAGATAAATTCGACACGTATCTATACAGTCTTTTTAAAGGTGTTAAAACTCTACAGAGTACTTAATTTTACTTTTTTGCTAAATTTTATTTACCAAAATCAATTTTTGCATTACCATGATACGAGCTCAAGGTGAACTTTGAACCTTGCATGTTGCATTACCATTATTTTTTTGTCCTGGGAAGTAGACCAAAACGTAATAAAATCACCCTGAGTCAACAGAACGGAACCAAAAAATCAAAAATGTTGGTGTTTCCTTCAACTATCAAGTACCAAAAAAAATCAAAGTGATAATTACACACTACTTACTCATATGTTACCAACCTATTATTAGTAATAGAAGTGTAAATAGTGCGTGAAAGTGTTATGACTTGATATCTGAAGAGGTTAAGCAAATATCGAAGTAAATAAAACGTTTTGAAACAAGAATTTGATATTTAAACTTTAGATTAGCTAGGAAAAATCTTTTCTTGGTATTTGAAAATTCATATTCGTAGATCAACAAAAGGCAATGACCTGGGGATTTAAGATAATCATCCGTTGCTACATTCAGCGTCTGCCGTTGCTCTGTCTGCCTTTTAAAAGGAGCAAGAGCAGCATCTCGTTAACGGGTTTAGTTATCTTGGATGAAAGCTTCGAAACGAAGGCTACAGTTTGTATAAAAACAAAGCTCGAAGCACATTCGCCTGTGTTAATCCTTGGACTTTTTCTTCAGTTCTCTTGTTTGGGCATATGTTCAGCAGAGAGTCCGACGCACTTTCGAGATGCTCGGAAATAAACCCGACGTTTCGGACACGTTTTCTGGAAACATCACCATTTTAGGTTATTTACATTAAACCCTGAGCATTAAAAATAAATTAATCCTTGTCCGGTTGAACTTCGCGCACAAATACAATGTTTATTACAGCACCGACTTCAAACTTTTGTAAATACTCTTCGTTTTAATGGTTTGTTTTAAATCTAAATTTAATTTCCAACGAACAACATTCGGCTTAAACTATCGGGTTTAAAACCCATTTCATGTCGGATTAGATTTTGACTGGAAATACGCTTTATTTGACATACGTTCGCCCATAATAGCAACGTTCGGAAACCAAATTGAACAAAAAATGTTTTTAATTAATATCTATATATTTGAGTGAGGCATTGTTTTGACAGATATGAAATATTACAATGTTTTTATTTGGGGTTATCTTATCTGAATGAATATGAACGTCTAATAGAATTATTTCATGAGAAAATTCGGGATTCCGTATGATAATTTTGAGATACCATAAATCTATCAAATGAGTTAAATAATGCTGATTATACGGTTTATTCATAATTAAACCTAAAAGATCTCAGGGAGCGGTTAACATTAATATTTCTTTTTGGAAGTAAGTATCTGAAGTACCTGAAATTGTATCCCTACCATGAAATAAGTATTATTAGGTTCGCTGTCCAGGAAACAACGTTAATTTTAAATATTCAAAATGACTTCTATCGGAAATGTAGCCTAAGGAAATTGCAACACAAAAAATGCGCGTGTGTCTGTCAGTAAAAGCAAAAACGATGTTTGGCCTTGTTTTAGACTATTTTTAACCACTTTTTTAAAGATGGTAGAACGCAAACAAAAGGAAACTTAGATTTTTTTTTACCTTTTTTCTGCTTTTCTTCTGCCCTTTTTTTGTTCAAGTATTTAAGAGTTCAGAAAGATGCCAGAAGAGAATCGGAAAAAGTAAAGGATGATAAATTTCTTTCTACAGAATTTCTATAAAAATGCCACAAACTAAGCAATACACGGCAAAAAAAAGGAAATAAAATAGAATGACGCCAAAGTTAATCCAGACAGGAACACTTATAATGGCAGAAAACATGATTTCAATCTAACACTTAAAGGATAACCTGAAGAAAACTCGCCAGGGGTAATAAAGTTACCTGATGGTGTGATCCAGGTCACAAAAACATTGTGAGTAATGAAAAGGAGGGATAGTTGGCCAAAGAGGCAGCGAGGACCCCCTTTATTGGCCCTCATCCCGACTGTGAACTATAAAAAAGCCACTAAAAATAAGCGATTAAAGAACTTCCAGGACACAAACAGACGAAAAGTATGATAATTCCGGCGCAAAAGAAAACCAAAGCGGTTTTATGCTTTAGCAAAGAGGGCTTAAGGTCGCTCTCATGTTTTCTGAGCGGCCACACGTCCCTAAATTACAATCTCTTCAACATTAAACAAGCTGAGGATCAAACTTGTCAACTTTGCAACGACAAGTCAGAGACTGCTGAACATATTCTATGTGACTGCGTCGCCAGAGGTCGCCTAAGACACAAAATTTTCGGAAAGTTTACCTGACACCTACTGACATAAAGGAACAAGACCTTGGAGCAATACTAAAGTTCATCAAGGACCTAGATCTGCCCTAAACCTTTGTAGGACGTAAGTTACAATATATCTTATAGGTTGTTGTAACGAGCAAGTTATAGGCAGCTCAAGTTCTAGTGATTTGAATCCAAAAATTCTATTTTTATTATTCTAAAGATCCCCCATGGTTGTTCCAAATAGATTTATATTCATACAACATATCAAATAAGGGGGTGAGAATGAGGGTTGAGACGAAGTCGGCAATCTACCCACGTAAAAGAGTAAATTAGCTCACAGAACCCAAATAGAGACGAGAAAACGAGTTGAAACTAGGATACTGGTACGTAACGTCATTTGGTGCTAAGGATCAGGAAATTATTCTTCAATTACAGCATCACCAGATAGATATTTGTACAATAACTAAGACAAAAAAAAATGGCAAAGGAACAATACGGTGCAACGATTATACACTGATCCACTCAAAAACTCAAAACTGAAAGAGCAGCGTTCGGAGTAGGAATCTTCTTGAGGCAAGGTTCAGAGTACTAAAGTCGTATCAAAAACTTTCGTTACACATAATATCAGTCTACGCTCCAGATACCTGAAGGCCATTTCAGGAGGCTTTTAGAACAATTATGACTTTATAATAATGGGCGACCTGAACGGAAAAATAAGCAAAGAGTCAATAAAAAGTCATACACCTTTTGGTTTCTTTCTATCTTTTTTTGGCATTAAAGTATATCGGGTAATAAAGTACTATCAGTTGAAAGAGCCATCAATTTTAGATTAATTTGATTTAAACAACTCAGAGCGTCATTTGAATATTGCAATAATTATGGAATATGATTTTAATATTTAGGGTGAATTGAATAAAAAAAGAATATTTGTTAGGGTGTAAGCAACAAAGTTACTATCTTTGCCATAATCAGTGTAATACATAATGGATAATAAATGTTCTAAATGCTATGGATACTACATACACTAGGTATCAGTTGTTGATTCCTGTGTAGAATGGTGTAGTTCCCAGTATTCTAATACTGAGTGAATCATTCCACTATTCCGTGGACGATTACAGTATTTATATATTTATATATAGTTATGTTGTGTGGTATCTGAAATGATTCTTTCCAGTATTCAGAAGTTAACATATTTTTCATAGAATAATTAAACTAGATTGGGACCAAAATGTAGAGGTTGATTCCAGTACCCAATTGTTGGGTGCCATGTCCATAATAGATGTTTTCGGTATAGTACAGCTAGATACAGTTTACGGAACCATTAGCATCAGAATTTGGTTTGTTACTTCCAGTATCTAGTGGTTAATTTCAGTATGCAGTGGATGATTCCAGAATCCAATTGTTAAATGTAGTATCAATAGGGTTTGATTTCAGTATTTACATGTTGTATAGATTCAGCACTCAGTTGTTGAATGCAGAAAATTGGACGCAGTTGCTGCAATTGTTAGAATTTAAATCAGTTCCTTCTGTATTCCAATGTTGCTAAGTACCCATTCTGCCGCAGTTATGACCTCATCCGTTTCTGCAGTTATTGCCAATTTTCTACTGTCTACCGTTTCAGTTTCTACTCCCAGCCTGCCGATTACTAAGATACATATTCTATCTATTCTATCTAAAATTTGATAAATGCAACTCTGAATATTGCAACGCCTAAACTAACAACTTGAAAAATATAACTTGTTCAATGATGAGTAATCTGCGTTTCCAATACTTTCTTAGATAGGAAACGCTTGTTCACGTCTTTTCAATCATATTCTACACCTTGCAACATAATGAACAACATGAAGTTTCATTACTGGATCTTTATTGATGGATGGTTGTCCACTTATCACGTTTATGAGAATTATCTTCATAGTTATACCACCTAAACTATTAATAATCTGTTAAACCTCTTAATCCTGATTTTTCGAGAGATTGTTGTGTTAACTACTTCCAATACAATTTTATTTAATTTCTATTGTTGGAAATACAATTTTGTTCTCTCTTATTCTCCAACAGTTAAATAGTTAATACTAAATCACTAGGAACTGAACCGAAAAGCGAAGAAATTGTTATTTTTTGTGGATCATAAACGTAGGCTGAACCAATTGTTCTTTTTAATTCACACCTTTATTTATAAATGTCGTATTCAATAAAATGTTTGAAGACATCTTGATAACAAAAATCATTTATCCATCACTTCTTCCATCCGCAATTTTTGCACTAAGTTGATTTTGATTTGGCTTTTTAAACGCGCCGCAAGTTAATTAAATGGGTTCTAATTTTATGTTTATGTCAATAATAATGCAATTGAGTTCGAATTAAGATAATAATATCAAACGAGGTTAGTCATAACCAATGAAAGGTCAATATTTAAATAATAAAAATAGTTAAATGTGGGTTAACCCACGATTAAAG